AGACTCCTCCATCATTGCACAGCACAGGAGAGACTGCAAACAGCATGAGCTGTTTTCTCCGATTTCAGTTCTGAAATGGAAGTTTCAACTGGGGGAAATTAAATTTTTAAGCCAGAGAGTTCATTCATTATTTCCATCTTAATAGGAAGAAATAGTCTGTTTCAGCTAATTGCACGTAAATGAAGAATGGTAACTGCTGCAAGAAAGCAGCATTCCAGTGTGCAAGGAGCAGTAGCTTCACTGAGTAGTAGCATTCAGAGAGTTCTACTAGCCCATGAAGTTACCACAGTAATTTTTATTTAGTAACCAATACAGAGATGCGGTACCAAATTTACTGCCCTCACTGCTGTACCTTCACTCCATCCTATCCACATATTATTCCCCCAAACAGAACAATAGAGCTTCCGATACAGAACTGTCTATTACAGCATTTAATATTTTCATACAAAACCCCCAAACCCTATAAAAATACAAGTGAATTAAACTACTACAGCTGAATAGTTAAGGGCTTGTGTTTAAACCGCCTTGATATACCAACTCAATGGATATCTAAGCCCACAGAGGCTAGTGATGGGCAACAGGACTACACCAGACCAGGTGTTACAATTCCCAGCAAGAACATACAAAGTTTTGAGAACATTCACTGAAAAAACCCTTTAACTCCAAAGAAATTTAAACCATTTTTCTTGAATGATCTAAATAATTAGGATTTTAAAACTATCAACAGCACCATAATACATAGAGCAGGCTTATAATTTAAACTGTGCATGAATGGGATAGATACTGGACGAGCTTTGTGGAGGTTGAGTTTGGCAAGAGTAGGAATAATTGAAGAACAACCTGCACATTCTCTTAGTTCAAATCTTGCAACAATTTTGCCAGATCAGATCATAACATATAAAAGCCTTAAACACAGTCCAGAAATACTTGAAAACAGGAGCTACAATGGTAAAAAGTGGTTAAAACTCTGCCAGCCACCCTTCACTTCACAATCCCTACCTATTTGTGCTTGAGGAAGATAAGAGAGATCACAGTCACTACATCCACAATATCAGCTCCCACAGACAAAAAAAGACGTAACACCACCCCAATAATACTTGTTCCCAAAGACAGTTTCCCCCTACCTTCTATCACATTCCTTTTTGTCCCCAGTCATGATCACCATGTCAATTACTGTTAATTAATCCAATCAGCTAATAGCCTCCAACACCACCACTTTCTCCTACTGAGGAAGCAGAGACTGTATTCTGAATTGCATTGACGAGGAAGCACAGATGCACGGAAGGGAGAGGAGAAAAGGGGTACCTACAGAAGCAGGAGGCCTTAAAGCATGGGGAAGGGGAGGAGAAGTCTCTGCCACAAGAAATCAACAAGTTTTCTGTGAATTCTGAGGCAAAAGCTTGGCAGACAAGCAGAGACTTTTAAACATAACCTGGGCTAGTTTTTTTGGAAAAAAATACCTAAAAATAAGCAGTAAAACTTAAAAGCTTATTTAAATGTCACTTATAATACACCATGTTTTCGTCCTTGCAGACAACACAAAGATATGATGAATTGTCCTTTGCTTCTCTGAAGAGCCTATTCTTACCTTGATTTCTGCTTAGTGACCTGGTACCGCGTTATTTGCCTTGTGATTTTTGCCTGCATGTCAACACAGAGAACAAAACTAATTTCACTAGAAAAGGAAAACAAAAAACCAAAACCAAAACCACCAAACCAAGCAACCCAGTAAAGCCCAAAATAATTTCTGGATGTGTTTCAGTTGAAGTTTATACATTTGTTCCTGAGAAATAATTTGAGAGCAAACTAAGAGTCGGGTCAATGAGAAAGAGCCACAGTGTTCTGGCGTGCCTGTCTGAGCAGAGCTCAAAGCAAGGTGGTGCTCTGCAGCAGTTTCTCATCCTCTGCTCACACACTGAGCTTGCTCCTGCTAAGCCCAGATGTGCTGCTTCACAGATGGAATGATATAAACACAAAACCACCCCTGACATCTCCTGTCCCATGTGAATAAACTGCACAATACCTTTTCCTAATGCATAACACCTGTGAAGGTGCAAGCGGTACAATGTCTCGACTGTGTCCCTTTACCATGCTTTGTGTTGTCTTGGTCCTTTGTCCCTCTCAGTTGTGCATGTGGGCGCCAGGGCTTCCTGACACCAGTGCTGATCAGATCACAGCTAAATTCCATGTCACTGGCTACAACCAAACTCAGAATTGGCCCTGGAGGTGGCTGCCTGAACAGCTGTAGTTTGCTCTTTTGAGCATTGCATGCCTTAATTGCAGACAGTTTTTAGCCCTTTGGGAAGAGGAGAGGAATGATTCATCTGTGTATAGTATGATAAGTAAGTGTGTGTTTTCATTTAAATAAAAAGAGGTCAGCCAGAACTCTCAGTGTTTCTCATAAGATGTTTTACAATAACATTTCAGAAAAGCTGCTGTGCCTCTTATACAGTGCTGTCGTAGGTGCAGGGAATGGATGGTGGAGTTGTCTGATGGACTGTATTAACAGCAAGACGATATAAATAGGAAACATACCCCAATATTTTGTCACTAGCCATTCATGGCAAGGAAGTCTTGGCTATCTTTGCACTTCTCTTCTTGTTTAACTGGGATACCACGGTAGCCAGGACTCTCTCATTTTAAAAGCCATGGAACCTCATCACAATGTAGAAGGACCCTCTCCATCAGCTGGCAGTAATGTCAGAAAAAGGAGGCTGGTGAAGGCTTCTGGTATGTGTTACAATAGCATTGGAAACAATTGATGGGAATGTGTTTCTAAGAATATGCAAAGATTTTTGTTCCTTCCACTTAACAACAACATGTGATACTTGGGCTTCTGATTTGGCAGTACCAGCTCAAGGCTATTCAGTTTGCAGGATGGACAAGCACAGATAATGATCAAGGCAACTGAGCTGGGCAAATGCAGAAAATCAGCTTGAAAGCCCAAGAAGAGCTTTCTGTAATCCGTGTGATCACGGCCAGCCAACAAGGAGGTGGATGTGACTGAAATTCAGCATAACTTAAGGGAGTGTTGGTAATGGCTGAAGTTGGTTGCAGTTCTCAGAGAGCAAAAAGTTAAAAAAGATAAAGGAGCTGATCCTTTTAAAATTAAAGGGGTGTGCAAATCTTCCCTCAAATTCTCACTTCAAAACAGCAAATTTTGGTCCCTTTTGCTCTAATGAAGAGTTTACATTTTAAGAGTAGCTTTAGAAAGACCTGGAAACTGTCTTGTACTGTCAGCACTTCCCCCTCACTGTTCATACAGATCTGAGGAGACTGAACATGGTGCATTATCCCTTCTCAAGCTGTTCAGCCTTCTCCAAACCTTTTTTAAGATCATCCCCACCAATTTTCTGTGCTTTTTTTTTGTTTTGTTTTTGTTTGGGTTTTTTTTGTGTGTGTGTGTGTGTTTGTGCAAATTTTTACATCTTCTTTCAGGCAAATGTGCAAATATATAATCCACTAGGACATTTTTGATCTAGTCAGAAATTGGTGCTGCTGCATTGTGCATGACGACGTTCAGTTATTCCTCTGAATGGGGAGTCATCAACATCTGAGGCCAAATTTCCTAATATGTTCAGATTTACTCAGTATTTAGTTGCAAGATGGGGACAAGAACCTTGTAATGCTGCCTGGCTGGATCCTAGGTCTGCCACGCGCTGCTGCTGCAGGTACAAGGACATCAACCCTGGGAAAATAGTGCACATCATTCCTGTGGTATCTTTGCTGCTGGGTAGAGTATTTTGTACAGAGAGGAGCTGAAAGGCTTTGTCAAAACCCATAGCACATTTTCCTTATTATACCCATGCTTCATTAATCAAGATGAGAAACAGCCTTTAAGAAAAGAACGTCATTTCTTCTGTGGCAGGCTACCATATAATGGGGTGCCTCAGGGTAGTATATGAGAATTTTTCATCAGTGTGTCATGTACTAAAGCAAGCATTTTTCCCTGTACATGGGCCACTTACATAAGAAAGAATCACAGAATCACAGAATTGGAGGAGACCTTAAAGATCATCCAGTCCCACCCCCTGCCCTGGGCAGGGACACCTTCCACCAGCCCAGGTTGCCCAAAGCCCCGTCCAACCTGTCCCTGAACCCTTCCAGGGAGGGGGCAGCCACAGCTGCTCTGGGCAACCTGTGCCAGTGTCTCTCCACCCTCACAGGGAAAAATTTATTCCTTACACCTAATCTAAATCTACCTTCCTTCAGTTTAAAACCGTTACCCCTCATCCTACAACTACACTCCCTGATAATCTACTACTGTAGTGATAATGATCACAACATTCCTCCCCACCTCCCCTTTAAGCACTGGAAGGCCACTATAAGGTCTCCCTGGAGCCTTCTCTTCTCCAGGCTGAACACCCCCAACTCTCTCAGCCTGTCCTCACATGGGGGTGCTCCAGCCCACCCAAGCATCTTCATGGCCTCCTCTGGACCCACTTGAGCAGCTCTGTGTCTTTCTGATGTTGGTGCCCCCAGAGCTGGACACAGCACTGCAGGTGTATAGTAGAGTATAAAAGCATAAAATTATAGCTCAAAAGATGATCAAAGGTACAGAGCAGCTGGAAGATGTAATTCACCTTCCTGTGGCGTCTCCCTCAGCAGTAGCATTTGTACGGCCAGGCAGTAATCTGGAGTTACTGAGAACTAACCGTAGGCTCTTGTTAGGTGAAGTTTCAGCCAGACCGGTTCCTGAAGTGGCTTCCTACATGGCTCTCAACACCACCAGCAGCACAAAGCAGGCCCAGCACAACAGCCAGGAGTGGGGAGAGATGAAGGCAGGGGGAGGAAAGTGGCAGCAGGTCTGCGCTTTTCCATGTCAGCATGGATTTGTATTAAATAACAGTGACATTAAGTTGTGAGGTCAGGAAACTTCAGTTTGTTTCAGCCATAGATTTACTGGATGAGCTCAAACAAGTTGCTAAATCTTTTTTCTAAGTTCCCCATTTAAAATCAAGGGACATGTCTGCCCTAACAGGGTGGTTGTGATTATTTAATTTTTAGGTGAGACTCATACAAAATACATCGATATAAACTAAAATACACAGGATGGGTTTTGCCCATTTCCTTTAATTTTTGAAAACAAGTAAGTAGACAAAATTTTGTGCCCTTCAAAACCAAACAGAATCTCTCTTTGTGTAAAATGTTCCATAAACCTTAGTGGTTGTTCATTTTTATTGTATTATTTTTAATAATACTGCAGATATTTCAGAAAAGGGCAATATTGTTTCTACTCCATAAAAAAAACCATCACGATATAGTTGCTTTTTGCATTTTCCCCTATATATTGTTTGAAAAAAACCCAAACAAAACACAAATACTATTAGGAAATTTACCCTCCCACACCCCTCCCAACAAAAGAAAAATATTTTTTAAAAAATCAGTACATTGTTAAACAAGTCAGATATTAAATGCACACATTTACAAGCACAGCACATTAGTAATACTGTATAATACTTTAGACCATGCCAAACCATATGTATGTGTATAAAGCTACAGGTGAAATGGTTCATAGCAGCAGAATAGGAAGCATGTTCCGTACAAAGCACATAGTTCCTGTGGAGACATATGGATGAGTACAACAGTTCAAAGTACAATGACAAGCTAAAACACACAAGTTTTTCTGCTACAGCAGTGTGTGTTATGATTCAAAGGGGAATCTTGACTTGTCTGGGGTTTTCATTTTGTGTCTAATGGATGGCCAGCTGAGTGGTGTGGGTTCCACCTCTTGGCACACTTTACTGTAAACATTCATGAGGAGTCCTGATTGCTGAAGATAACTTCATTGAAATCAAGGCCAAGCGTTACCTAACAGTGCATCTATATTTGCACATCCCTCTCTGATAAAAAAATGTGTTGATGTGTACTCTGGAAGAGAACATAATCCATCCCAAGGCCCATATGTGGCTTTAGGGCCTTAGTTCTGCAACACTGTGGGTGTAGAGAAAGACCAGAAAGGGACACTGGATTAGAAATATTTGTGATTCATTAGGACTTCCAAACATGTTAATTTCTAGGTTTTGGAGTGGGCATTTTTTCAATGTCAATATGTAGTTTTCATTTGCTTCGTTGTATATAACTCAATCTGTAGTTTCAACTCTGGGAACATTTCCAGGAGTATCATTTTCCAGTGGGACCGTGATTTTCATTGGTAACCTCTAGTTCTGGATGCCAAGCTGAAGAGTCCCTCTGAGGGAGGCCACCATTCACAAGGTGGTAGTTCTGTACCTTCATAAAGGCAGGCTCGTTCAGAACGTCCTTTCCTAAGCACCTAACGATGGACACATGCAAAGGCAAGCAGGACGTAAAGTATTTGAAGTAGAATTGTGATAGAGAAGTTCTCTCTAAGACTTCTACCTTACCACACACAAAAAAATTCAACTAAGATAAAGTAAAATCAATAAATCTATTGGATTTAATGATGTAACCTGAGACAAAGCGGTTCTATGAAAGTGACTTATTAAGCCATAACCGTAAAATCTCAAAGAAATGCAGACTACCTGTACGGTTCTGTGTAATATTAAGAAATACTTAGGGACTTCTAGTGAAATGTTTTCCGCTGTAGAAGGCCAGCAGCCACTTCTGTTTCTAATAACTCCAGATGCTGGTATCTGAGGTTTGGTGATTTTGAACTGCAGAGAAGACAGAAGATTTTATGACATTTTTTCTGAGCTGCCTTAGGCTTTTGCTTTGTCTCTCCCCATCAAATAGTGTGCAGTATAGTACAGTATTCCTCCACAGGTTTCTTATACAACCATTAAATAAAAAAACAGGACAAGAAAAAAATTATTCAGAACAAATATTAGTGTTTGGAATATTGGGAAAAAAAAAACAAACAACCCAAGAGATAGTCTAGAGATTTTGATACTGGGACTAGCATTTGCATACCTCATGGTAAAAACCATCCATCAGCTGGATTCACATACAAAATCTCTTTAAATCAGAGGGAGTCGGTTCATACAATTGATTTACTAAAAAGGCCTAATATCACAAACCCAACACTCCTCCCTCTGTGTAACAGAGAAGTCACAACATCCCTGACTTAATTCCTTCATCTGCACCATATATAAATTACCTCCTGGAACTCTTGTAGAGATTAAGGACCAATTACTCTAGCCTTCCACCAAATAAGCTCCTGTTCTGACTTCAGAGCAAGCTTTGATACCATTCAGGGTAGGAGAATCTGTGCCTAATCTGCGAGTATCGAGAAAGTACCTTGAAGATGAGAAAAGCGATATAGTACTACACATTGTCATTGCAAGATCCTTAATTTCTTTGAGGGGAATGAACAGATGTTCAGACAGACAGACTGGGAAACAGATAGAGACAGATGGAGAGGCCAAGGTATGCAGAGCTCTGTGTGTTCTTTCTTTCTCAGAATATTGCCATATATATATAGTAAGCTTAGTCTCCTTTTGTACAAGCACAGACAAACACATTTCGAAGTTGCAGATGGGAAGTGTCAACCAAAATGAAGGACTGGCCACCCAGACACCAAAGAAAATGAAAAAGTTAGAGGTCTCCTGAAGCAGTGCACATTATCTTAGAGACCATTAACTTACAAGAGCGGCAAAATTCATAACTCTTAAGAAATATCCTCTATCCAATCTCCAGAAAAACAGTGACTCAGAAGTGGGCCCATTCCACCACAGTTTTAGAGCTGTTGAAGGGGACGGGAGGTGGAAGGCAATAAGAGCAGCTGAGGTGATGCTTCCTGTCAGCTTGACAAAACTCGCCCTGAAAGAAGAGCTTTGTTAGATGCAGAAGTCAGTCTTGCAGCTGCCCGGGTCTATGTAAAGGCTGAATCACGCACAGCCTGGTTCAAAAGCCACTGGGCTCAGCTGGGAAGGCTCACTCTGATTTCAGTGGACCTTGGACACAGCCCACATTTAGACAGTAATATGCAACACCAGTTACAAGACCTCCCCCCATCCCCTCACAATTTCTTCAATATAAACAAAAGGACGTTTTGGTCCTCTTTATATACATACATTAAAAGCTGAAATGGTCTGAAATGCTTACAGATTAGAATACATATATTTATACAACATTACACCTACCAGAAATCAAAGTAGAAAAGTTTTACAGCACATTATACAGATCCCTCTAACTTCTAAAAAAAACATTTACTGAAATCACCATATTACAAGGTCATCAGTAACATACCATATAATACTATTTCTTTTTCTTTTACATAATCATTACTTATATAGTAATTTAAAAAAAATCACTTTTAAACAAGTATACAATTTTCACTTTAAAATTAACTGGTTAATAAAATTTTGTGCAAAACAAGCCAGCCTCTATAATTAAGTGAATTTATTTATTTATTTATTTATACAAAAAAATAAAACAAAAAAAGATAGTTCTTTCAGAAATGCGTCTCCTTTTCTGTAATGGTTGAAATGGTGCCATCTCCTTTCAGTTTGGCATCGCAGTCATTTATTGCTGCAATGTAGGCTCCTCCTCCAAGTTTCCCTCTCATTTGCAGATCTGAGCTAGGTGTAATCAGCTTCCTGAATTTCTAGAAAATTTGAGAAAATGGAAAGCATTACCTTTTTCTTGGTCACAGACACACACTTCTTGAATAGATTGACTTTAAAACCCTTTTCTTTTGCACGTCTGCTTCTCATTTCCCTGTTATAGGTACATCCATAAAACTGCATGCTGCACAGTTCTTTACAAATCACACTAGACCAAAGGCTAAAGAACTAAAGTGAAGACAAAGTCAATTTGATTTAGAGTAACATTCCCTTTCATGAAGAAACTCAGCACAGTGGTTTGGGTCAGGCTTGTTACATGGGTACATTTTGAAGTTGGCTTCCTGAGAAGCTCCCAATTGTAATTAAAAAAAACCCTTCTCATTGTTTATGCATGGAAAAGATAATGACCTGTCTGCCGTGCTTCAGACTACAAGGCAATGCAAAACAAGATTCTATAAATAAAGTCTATTTACTTGCAGAGACCAGGTAAGGTTGATGCATTAAGGAAATATTTCATATTAAGATCTGTGCAAAACTTCCTTTTTTGACATGCTAAGAAAACTATATTATGGACAATTAATTTTTTTGTTTATATACCCACAGTAAAGATTTCCTAGGTAGTCTCCAGGCTGTATTTAATCAGCTTAATGGAGTCATTTCAATATGGACTGCTGTCAGCCAGAACAATAAATTGCCTGTTAGCTTCTCCATTCAAGAAAGCAGTAGCTATCACATTGAGATATACTCAGATATACCCAGACGTCACACACTTTTGTTCTGAGTGGAGGATAATTTTGAAAGTGTGGATATACACTGTGAGACAGATCTTTCAAACACACTAGATAAGTTAATGAGCCCCAGGCATCCTAGACACAGGAATTCCTACTGGTTTGTTCTTATGTTGGCATTATCCTAGCAAATATCAGAAAGACTGAGAAAGCACGCAAGTACCTTCCATATATGTATGGAGACAGGAGGAGGCAGTACTGGGATACCTATTTTACTGACTAGTATCTAAGGAACTCCAGATGACAGAACCAGGCTTTTCTGCCAATACGAGAAAATCACAAATGGCCAAGTAAGATTTATATTCTTGTTTCTTCCATTACAACCATCTTCACTGTCTTGCAGAAAAGGTCTTATATTTAATAATCTTAACCTCAGCCTAGATCCGAGATAACCTGATACAAATGCTAGTAAATTGCACTGAATATTTCTTTTTGTCTCTATTTCTCACTTAGAGAACTGTAATCAGGAAAACTGTCCAGAAGACATATGAGTGTTTGCTAAACAGCTCCTGGAGGAAAATCCTGGCAGCACAGGCATTAGTTACCAAAAACATGGAAAGAAGGCAGCTGACCTGAACGAATGGCTGGTACAAACCTTCTTGATGGGTTTAGCTGATGTTACAGACATTTTAAGCCACAAAATGAGCTGGAACAGAGCACCTTAAAGCTATAGTATTAGTTTACCACAGACTGAAATCAGCAAAGGCAAAAAAAGAGAAGAAATTCAGAAGAAAATAGAGAAAATTCAGATGCCTCTTTCCACCAGTGACTGAGAGGCCTAACCCAAGCTGCCACTGGAACAGGCATGTGGCATTGGTTTTTCGATTCAACTGTGCTTAAGTCTTACGCAGTTGAGGATTCACACTCCCTTCCCACTTCTTTTTTCAGTATCATTAATCTGAAAATATATCTCACCTCTATGAAAGTGCCTTCTGTCTTCCACAGCTTAATGCAGATCCACAAAGGGATACAGATCATGGAAGAGAGCGCCATCATCCATCCTATGCCATAGCCCCAGTCAGGGTATATATATATATTGTTGTATTTCAAAGGCTTGTATTTCACCAGGAAAAAGATGAAGATTCCCTGAAATAAGAAGAGAAATATATTAGCAGTATTTGAAAAAAACACTGCCCTGTGTAACAAGAAAATCATCAACCGTTTAGGCAAGGCCAGTCTCCCTAAGGATGGAAAGGTAAGCTTTTCAGTCAGAGAAAAAAACCCAACAGCAGTACCTTCTTTTATGTACAGCTTAAATAACATGTCTCGGTAGCTTCCACTGAACCTTTCAAGTTTAAATCCTATTTACCTCTATATGACAATAAAACCTGCACTTTGATGGCAAAGAGTACCTGGGCAGGAAAGATTAACTTTTGCTACCATGAACCAGCTGTGATTCAGTAACACAAGCTCTGTTCTCTCCAACCTGTCATGATGAAAAAGGAAAGCCAAAATTTTCAAAGTTGCCTTAATCCACTGTGTCTGTCTGCAGTTCTGCAAGCCAACTCTCTCATTCTCACTAAAGCTCAAATATGTCTGTCTGAATTCAACAGTTGTTTAATCAAGCAGTTTAGACCATTCAAATTTATGAAGTATAGAAACATTACTATGTACTTTCCTTCAAAGTGGTGAAAAGAGTGTACAAGATCAAGAGATATTAAGTTCATTTCAGACAGTGTAAATTAGTCCAAAATCTTCCCCCAAGTTTGCAGATGAACTGGCAGAGCTCAATGGGACCTAGATATCCAGGGGCCCCTGCTGGGATTCCAGAGGGCTTTCTGCAAGAGAATGGCCATGTGAGCAATCCTGCATGAGAACAAGAGTGATAAGAGCCTCAGCCGAGCAAGAATGCGATAAGGATGTGACCCTGAATGAGGGGGGAGAAACTCGACGAGACAAACAACCCCCGGAAGGGGTTGGGACGGAAGAGGAAGTTACCCAAGGCAGAAGCCTGGCACGGCTGATGTGGCACTTTTTATCCAATCACAAGAAGGTTTAAAGCGCGGGCTAAGTTAACTGTCCAATCTTGAGGACTTGTACTGCACGTTACTCTTGTGTGGGAGAACATTATAAACGGGCTTTCTTAGTTGTAATAAACGGGCATTGCTTGATCACATTGGTCGTGTGCGTGCTCAGCTCTCCCGCAGGCCCCAGCATCTGTGGTTCTGCAGTTGCTATCATTTATGTACTGGACAACTGGAAGGTTTTAGTATCTAATCCTCAAGCATTGTGGATCAAATTTATGGGCAATCTGGTCATGCTCCTTTTGTAATTTTGTCCCTGTTATCTAGCTGCAGCAGACTGACAGAGCTGGCACCAGTACTGCTAGCTTCTGGTATGGCAAATTCCTTCCCCCTCTGCATGCATATGAGATGTGCTTTTAGCCTATTCTACTACTTTTGCTAGAAGAAAAAATGTCTATTCACCCAAAGAGAGGGAAGGAAATAGGAACCTGGAGCAGCAAGGGAACCAGCCCACGTCTAGTGGAACTGGAGTTATGCTGGGTAGACACAAGGTATCCTAGCAGTACCGTGAAAAGGAAGCCTCTGTTGTACTGGCAAATGTTCATATAGGGCCCTGAGTTTATTTCTTTCCTTTTATTGTGTTTACTAAGATTTCTCACAAGTCACAGAATATTTAACGATTTTGACAGATCCTACAGAGTGTTTTTTAATTAAAATATATGCTACAAATCCATAAGTGTTTTTCTCAACTGTTGTGAATTATTAGCATCAGCAAAGTTCTAAATATATGCATGGAAAACCCTCTTTTATGTCTAAACCAAGTTATTTCAATATTCTGTACTTACTGCACAAATACCTGGAGTTAAGACCATCCAGCACCATTTAATCAATGACAGTGGTTTGTACCCAATCATATCTTCAATGTTATCATAAAAGCGATTGCTGCCTGCCCCAAAAAACAAATGAAAAGCAGATTAGAATGTACATGTAAGAGATTGCATAGCTCAGTATTTAAAATAGTAAAGAGAAAAAAATAGGTTCTGCCAGAGCTGCAGAGACTGAAGCTGCTATCTCTTTCCCTGACACGCACATCTTTCCGTCATCTGCTCCGTCCTTGTGGCAGAGATTGCTGCCTACATCTGTATCTGTCTGTCCTGGTTCAGCTAGGACAGGGTTAAGTTTCCCCAGCAAAGAAGGGGAAAGGGATCTCCGGCCGGGTTATTCATACCATGCTGAAGTCAGGTCCAGGCACTGGAGCGCGGGAACCTTTTTCCTTTGTGGTTTTGGTGGCGGGGAGCACATGGTGGGCTTGTTCCGTAACCATTTGCAGTATTTCTCTGTATATCTTTTGTCTTGCTTACTGTTATTGCTGTTTATTGTTGTTATCATTGCTACCGTTGTTGTTCAGATTGATTATCACACTGTTGTATTAAATTTCTTCTTATTTTACCCCGGGGTTTGTGCCTCACTGCCAGCCCGACTGGCTGAGAGTGGGGGAGGGGCAACGGCAACGTGCTCTCCGGTCCCGGCAGGGCTTAAACCAACACACTGTCCAATATGAACATTGAGTAGGAGGGGGCGAGCTGTCAAATAGAAATGGCTTCTGCTCAGTAACAGTTTGAGCAAGCCCAGTTAAAGAGTATATATATATATATATATATATATGTATATATGCTACAAGCTCACGTATGGATCCCTAGATAGCTTGGGGACGTGTGTGAACTGAAGTCCATATGTTGTTTTACAAAGTAAAATTGTCAGCCCTTTGTGTGCAAAAAACACTTGAGGATGTAACCATGAACATGCCCAGCACTGTGGTGGTTTTCTCTTGACTTTGCTGACAGACAGAAATAGCAGAGTGAGGGACAGTACTATGTCCCTTATGTGGATTTATCTGTGAGTGTCAGAAGTGGATGGGAACATGCCCTGCACAGATGCTTTCCGAGAGAAGAAAGACTTATAGCCACCGCTACTTCCTGAGGCAGCTAGGGACTCCCTTGGTGAAGGAAGGTGGAGGTCAATCCTGACAAAGACCAAGGGTCAGGGTGGAAATCTATTCCACTATCTTTGCTATTTAGACTGGGAAAATAGGCATTCCTGACTTTTGATAGGGCACAGAATGTGGAGGGTCCCACTCCACAAGGATACAAGACTTTCACATTGCTTTTATGCAAATAGAAAACTTTCATAAAAACTGAAAACCACAGCAATTTTCAGCAACTCACCATAAACCCAGCCTATGCAGACACATTCAAATATGGCAACAAAAAGAAGGCACATGCCACTAGCTGCATAAGAGTCAAACAACTGAAAGACGTACATCCCACCCTAAAAGACAAAGACAGAAAAAGGAAAAAAAAAAAATTGTGTTGGCACCAGTAGGAATATTTCACAGTAAATATGGATTTAATTGCACAGTCAATCTGTTGGTTCCCTGGCAATCTTCATACTAAAGTTGGTTCCTTCTTGAACAAAGAATCTTCATTTCCTAGTGATTTCTTATGGCAATTTTTTTTTTTTCCATAGCATTTAAGATTATTCCCTATGCCAGTTGAATACTGTGCACTTGGCTTTAAGGTAGTAAATCCTGGAGTGGAGACAACTACATTTGACTTGTTTCCAAAACATTCTCCCACCTCCATGATTTTTTCAACTTCATTCGTTATCACATCAAGCTCTAGACATCTACAGGTGCTTTTGATCTCAGATCACTGCACAGGAAGATGCAGTGTCTTGGTTTTGTGTCTGTGCTACTAATATATAAAAGAATTATTTAAAATGTGGGGAAAGAAGGCAAAATCTGTAACTACTGGAGTCACTCTCCAGTGGCATAGGGACTGTAAAATGACCTGCAAGGTTTAACTGTAGCTCACAGCCTTTAAGCCACATTACTGAAATGTCATTATTATCTGAGAAAATAAAAATGAAATAAGAATCACCCTGACTCCAAGCAAGCTTTTGAAAAAAAGTTTACTTAAGTTAAAAATTGTTCTCCAAACGGCTTTAAAACAGCCACCTCTGCACTTCCAGGAAGGAGAGCAACCAAAACCAAGCAGTGTCCTCAATTAGCCTGGCATCCTCATGTGATTTTCTGCATTCGGTGGTGCCAAAAAACCAACTCATATGAAAAAGGTAAATGTGCTTAAGACATCCTCACTTACTTACTGTTTGACTATGACTCAACTATATCTGTTGTCACCGCTATCAAAGACATAATTCTTTTCTTCTTTTCCTGTATTTTTTCTCTTGCTTGCAACAGTCAGAGCCGTTCAGAGAACTGGCTGGCTTTCTAGAGCCTTTGCCTCGAGGCAAGATGAGAAGAAAACCTATGAAGTCCAATTAATAACATTATGGATAACCTGACTATTAAAATTATATGAAGAGTATTACACTACTTTCTAAGCAAGATACTTAATCTTTTATCACATATGCATTCAATATTGAAATAATAATTAGGAGATTCAGAAAAGATCATTTCCACGGAAAGGATTCCTAAAGGACTTCCCTCTTTGCAGAAAGCTATGTGAAGGAAATAGGGGCTTGAGATCATCTCTTCAGTTGAAATGTAATGCTATTTGAGTAGTACTTATGATCCATTACATCTCAGAACATTTTCAGCAAATGGAAGATAACCCTAAAAATATAAAGAAAACTAAATCAAAACCAATACCTAAGACTTCCCCCTTTTCTCTCTGTATTAACTGACTGAAGGTAAGTTAAGATGGACTCTGTAAACTTGAAATCCTGTCTAAATATTACAGAACATAAGAATGTTCTAAAGTTATTGTGCACAACACTGCATTGATGTCCAAGCAGGCATTTGGCAAAACTAGTGCTGTATAGTTAGGAAATGACCACATATCTGAATGAGAAAGTTTTCCTATAAGGTAAAATACCTTTTATGAATAATCCAAAGCCTGAATAAAATCCAGGAACATGTATTTAGAAACGCAAGAGAGGACAGGGACAGAGTTGGGATATATGTGTACCCTTGGAAGTCTCTCTCAAGCATAGTGCTTTGATGCCTTACTGAAGTACCATGGAATGGAGCATTCTCACCAGCGTGCCATTTCTGCATTGGATCACAGCTACTCACATTGCCTAGCTGATGATGTAAATAAGTCACATCTCTCAGTAATAACTTATGTCTCTCTAGCGATACTGGGAAAAAAAGTTTTTCTCTGCCCTTTAAGGTTTCCATTGAGCAAAAAATTATAGTAAAAGCACTTGGAATGTCAGCCCTCCCAGACCAGAATGCAAATGTTGAAGTAAAATTTTTTTAATTCAATGAGATTTTTTTTTTCTCCTAATGCAGATGCCTTTTTGATTATTAGCTGCACTGCTTTTAGTCAGCTCTGCCAGCTGACTGCTTTCAAAATCTCAGGTTCACAAGTGGATATCTTTACTGCAAAGAGCTCATGGTGAGGTTCGCAAATATCTGAGCCAATTGGAAACTTAAGAGATCAACCAACTAAGACAATACGATGTAAGGAAACCAATTCCACAAAACTCCTGCAAGAATATTCCTGTCATTTTAGAGAACTTGCTTTCCCGTCACTCTTCATGCTTATATTTCTTTTAGCCTGTACATCTTGATAATGTATCTCTCAGTGCTCTGCATAACACTTGAACTGTGGGAGGAATTATTCCAAAATTTCCCCATTTTACATAGCAAAGACAATTTATCTTACCAAAAGTAAGAATGATTAAAAGCACACTGATCTCTATAATGTTGCTCTGCTCCAATGTTCAACTTAGAGGGACACACATCCAGCAGGAATTCTTAACCAGCCACTACAGGGAACTGTGTCACATACTACCTTTCATAAACTAACTGACATTCTAAATTCCAGTTTAAAGCCAGAACTGTTTTCTTGGAAAAACTTCTAGAACATCACTATTCTGATGGATAGAAATCCTTTCTTAATTTTCAGACTAATTATTCATGGCCAGTTTATACAGTCTGGATTGGGGATGAGGGAAAGGGAGCCATTCTTTTTGCAGAAATAGTACATGTTTATACTCACTGTTACATCTATGATGTACTTACAGAAAGCAATCATACACCCTTGCTAATATTATCACCATTTTGCTAGTTTCTGGTAAAATCATCTTTGTACTCCTGGGATCATCCTCACTGCTCTTGCTTTGCATGCTGTTCCAGTCTAAATACAAGTATCCAGTCATACGGAATGTTTCAATGGGACTATTACCTTTTCCAGTCATGGGACCATTCCCATATCTTAATTGGACATACCTTCCTGAAACATCTAAGATAGTTTTATGTCTACAGCATATTTGTAGAGTTTAGTTTCACATCCAGATACTTCTCCTTCCTAATTGTTTTCAATGCCTAGTAGAAATGCTTACTTACTATAAGGGCAACCTTATACCTTGTGCTGCTATGGCCTACCCCATCTTTAAGAGTCTAGTCACCCAGTTCTTCCCTAGTATTATGCTTCTGTGACCCAGGAACACTGGAGTTAATGAAGCCTGATTTGGACTTAAATCTTATAGATGACTGTAAGCCCTTACACTTCATGCACTCATTAGGCTACAACTATTTGTGAATTCTCTGTTTTTCAATAAAGACTGAACTCATGCCTTGTTCTTTTGAACAATAAAGATACTTCTAGGACTTCTCTACCTGGCTGCCAACTTTCAGGAATGTTGAACTTGCGTGGAAAAAGATGTATATTTGAAACTTCTGTTTAATTGACTGAAAACTGCCAATAGGTTCAAAATTTAAAACGAAGAAGGAATAAATCTCCAAAGAGCTAGTCTTATGTAGCCAATGACTATATGTGTCTTGTTTCAGTGAGTCAACTACTGATACTAGCTAAATTTGCTACCAAGAGCTGTCTTTGTAACTTCACTAAGAATCTCTTTTAACACCAACAGCCATCATCTCCTTTTTGTCCCGTCACTTGTGCAAGTCGCTTTCTTCTGAATAAAATTAATCATTTTTCTTGTCAATTTTCAATTCCTTCACTGAAATATATAAAACTTCTGCTCGGCTACATTTGCTTCATACAGTGTCATATCTCTTATCAGAGAAAGATAACTGATTAGTCGCAAACAAAATATCACTGTAAAAAATAATGTTTCATTTTGTCCTAGTCTTCACTTTCCTCCCCATCTTCAGTAATTCTTTCCTTGAAAGTGTATCTAAAGCTAATATATTCTAATTAGTCAGTTTATTCTATTCGTTGTAAATCTTAAATACTGGGGGCAACGGACTAACATGCTTACAATTGGCTAACACCTTTTTCCGGTGAAATCTGCTAATTTTTAGTAACAAAGCAATTTGAAAAGCACAGAGTCTAAGTACTGTGTATCTCTGTAGAGGGACCAGTTTAAGTGACCCCAGATGGGTTCACGAAGCCCTGGGAGGCTGCTTCACTGGGAAACCCTGCCTGAGATTGCTGCACAACAGAGACACATCGTGGCCCTTCACAGTTAATACAGCCAGCCTTCCGCGGACATTCCTCAGACATTTAATTCTACAGCTCCTCAGACATTAAACTTTTCATTGCCTTGCTCCTCGGCACAGGGAGGCTCTAATGGCACAGCAAGCAGAAGAGAGTGGGGATTCTGTCTGTATTCTTCCTGTCTTGAGAGGGTAAGGTCAGGGAGACGAGGACTGTTGATACAACTCATTCTGTAAAGCAAGCACTAACAAGTACTAAAGGTTCCCAGAGTCCCTCCCAAACCTGGGTACCAAACACAGTAGTAGCAGATATGTTGTACCATGAACTGACGGGGTGGACTGACACCATCAGAATTTTAGGTTTAGAACATCCCAAAGCAAACAACTTGGTTTGTTTAAAAAAAAAATTTTTTTCCACTCTTACTGAAGCAATTTTTGCTCAGAGATTGTCTATATTGATTGACCTGGCGTGGTGATATAAAAATCAAAGATGTTTTAGTGTTCTATTTTCACTTTACTTCATCTTCTTTATTGGTCTATTCATCATACTGATCTAGTTGTTTTCACACTGGTTTGCCCAGAGTAAGTAAGCAGAAACCACGATTAGTATATCTGGTTGGCTGGCACAAAGCAGATGGAATTTCCTTGGCTACGTAACTTTGATTAAAATATTTCCTAAGCCTAACTGAAAAACTGGGGCTACATTTCACATTTCAAATGTTACACAGTAGTTGAGAACAGTCTCTTAAATATTTTGTAGTCATATTCCTGACAGTGAAGTTTGTCTATGCTGATGTCCTTGCATTTTATTTGTTATGATTATAAACAGAGACCCGTTTCCTTTTTTCTGCTGTAGTACAACAAAGCACATCTTACCTCAGTTAACATTATTAGGCCAATGAAGTATGACACAATGGAAAGGCCGAGAATCAACAGTTCTCTTCTATAGCCCCTTCGGAAAATCTTTGGGTACATATCTACAACAGCTGTCACAAGGCTTTCAACACACACGAACTAGAACAAATGATAGGAAAGTACAATGAAATATGTGTCTCATCTGCTGTTGGGATTTGGATTTGCTACCAAACACTTCAAATTTCCTTCTGTGTTCTCATCACAGAGTCTGAAAGACCCCTGAGGACACTCTATGAGCAGAAGCTCAAACTGGGAGGAACATCATTTCAAAAGTCCACCACCAAAATCAAACACTTGAATCCACTAATATTATCTCAGAATGCATTTGCCCTGTAGCAGATGGATTACATAAAGATTAAATCTTTCAAATGTTACTTGAATGGGACTTAAATATTGTACAAACTGGTCATAGGATTGCATCAGAATTTCATTCTAAGCATTCTGCACTTTTGTCACTCAAAGGAATGATATGCAGTGCTATGCACCATTAAGCACTGCTAAATGAACATCAGGTTTTCTGGAGAAGGTCTTTCCATTTTACAGAAGAGAGAAGTTCCACAAAGCTAATAAGTGCCCAAGCCAGGTACATCTAATGAAGGAGGGAAGGAACATTCTTACCAACTTTAAAAATCAGCAGAAAGCAAGAGGCCTGAGCTTCTGACTCAGGGCTCTGGAGCAAGGTTTCTAAATTAGGCACCAAAATTAATGACCAAAAGTAGACAATACAAAGCCTGCTTCATTAGAACAGTCAAGAGTAGAATTCAGGAAATGCTCACTTTAAAAAAAGACTTTTACAAAAATTGTTAGATCAGGAAAAAGAGTAGCTATTAAAATGTTAAGTTTAGTGATTGGAAATGTCATGCAAAATAAGTACTGAAAGAGCTTTATCTACAGTATACAATCATAAACTTTCTGGACCAAATCATGCTGAAAGCTGGGTTGCATGCTAAAAATGCCAGCTACTTCGTATTTTCTATTGAGCGGTTTTCACAATTTTTATGGTCCATAAGGAAGGACAATTTCTATGCTGTCACTTTCCTGCAGAATATGACTACACATTTCTTACTATGGAACTTACATTATCACTATCTGATATTCAGTATCAAGATTCATTGTGAAGTGCTTTAAAAATGGGAAAAGAAGACACACTGGTATTTTACTGAATTGTGAATTTTAATCACCCGTATTAAAGTTCAGACTGATTTCCATGTTAATAATGAAAGCTGCAGTCAGGCTGAATCAGTGTTCACAGTAAATCATAAAGAAATCTCCAGCATCACATAACTAAGATTTAAAATAAGGAACTTGAATCAATGGTTTTAAGCAAGGAATTAAGGCTCATTCTTTTCTCAGGTTATATGCTGTTTCCATCAAGGATGCTGATCTACACATGTTAGGGAATCTGACAAATTGTTTAAATAGCCTCTGTTTCATACCTGACTATCTAATCCAAGGAATATGAGCATCATGAAGAACAGAGTTGCCCACAGAGGAGAAAGAGGCATCATGGTAACAGCTTTAGGGTAAGCAATGAATGCAAGTCCTGGTCCTGAAAAGGAAGAAAAGAAAGGAAATAGTTTATACTTGTGCACTGGGTCTGGCTGAGATGGAGTTAACTTCCTCGTTACAGCCTGTACAGTGCTGTGTTTCAGATCTGTGGAAAGAACAGCGTTGCTAACACCAACGTTGTGGCTATTGCTGAACAGTGCTTGCACAGTATCACGTATTAAACCGTCTTTAGCTGGACCCACCAGTTTTCTCACTTTTTCTCTTCCTGTTCCCTTCCCCATCCCACTGGGGTGGGTGAGTGAGAGAACAGCAGCGTGGATGCTTGGCTGCTGGAGAGTCAACCCACCACAGCTTGATTGTTCTCTTATGGCAGATAAGAGGAGCTAAATACAAGATTGAAAACCTTGACAAACTCTACATGTCTAATAGTCTAAACATTTGGTGATGAAGCTAATCAGTAATGAAGACTTGCTTGACACATCAACTCTGCCTACATCCAAATGTTTGAAGGTCAAGACTTCTGTTAAGACATCACTGTACTTTACATTCTCCTTCTTCTTTGTGTGGATGTACAGCAAGACTCACATGCCTGAATAAATAATAGCATGTGGTCCTGTGATTGCCTGAAATAACTTAAAACATATTCTGGAATAGTGGTTTTTTTTTTCCTAAAACAGCACTGTATCTGACGTCTTGTGCAAGAATGCAGTCAATGGTAAGAGCTGCACCTTGGAAGCCATACATGGTGTAAGCCAAATGGCTACTGTTTGTTCAGAATCTGCTCTGCATTTTTGAGTGCTGCTGTTGGTATGTAACATTAATTCATTGTCTGCATATTTACAGAAATCCTTAAAATAGAACATTTTTGCAACAGCAATTGGGAACTTCTCAGATCTGCTAAAATACCATCTCGCTTAGCTCATACCTTATTTACCTGTGCCCATTTTTCAGCTTATGCTATAAGAGGTTTTACTGAAGTTAACCAGCTTGTAAATCAGGGATATAAAGGCAGTATCACAAGGCTGTTAAAGGAGTACCTCTGTGCTCCTGCTGCAATAACTTCAGTGAAGACCTCTCAGCACACTACTTCTTTTTCATTTAATGCAATATTTACAAGCTCCTATAGTTTCCAGAGTTGCTGTGGTCCTTTTAACCTTTTTCTATAATAGTATAAGCCAGTTGTCTGGATGGCTTTAGGAAAAGAGAAATATTTTCCATGACAGTATCAGGGAAGCTCTACTTGCTTCACAGTTTTCCTGCTAACCTTGACTAACTTCATGAGAGTCATTCCTCCTTCTCAACATTATACTGTTTTTCTTTCTAGGCAGCACTCCTTTTTACTCTGTGGAGTTTTAAGTGCTGCTTAAAGATGTTACATCCACAAAGGTGTTAAAGAGCAATTCATTTTCATTACTTCAAGTGATGGTAATGAATATTAGATGGTTAATTTCTCATAGAGATGGGCCTTTGTGCCTTTCTGGACTCAAAACAAGAACTTTTATACTTAATCAACCAGAGTGTCTCAATGTTTGTCCCTGGGAGAATAATTTACTGACATTAGGAGATGGAATTAGATGTCTGAGTGTTAGAAATCTGTATTTGGAAAGTATACAATAAGCAAGACTTCAGAGCACTTCCAAAGATTCCTCCTAAACATTTGGTTTCTCATTACTGTAATAGATTTTTTTTTTTTTTTTTTTTTTTTTTTTTTTTTTCAGAAGGAACAAATACTTGTGTGCATTTTGGTCAGTCTCATTTAAAGAAAAATGAATGCTCCATTCATGGGGATATAATACTCAAGGGGCATAACTGAGCAATATACCTCTGCTAAACAATCTTCTGGATGTTCAGCTGGAGTAACTTTGTCTTACAATAGTTCCATGACTATGAATTTGGTGCTATGCACAGTAACATCCAGTACGACCACAAACATAGTTAAGAACTCTTACAATAGTTATTCTCATGAGTTGGGTAACATGTTTTTAAGATGAGTTTTGTAAAACTATGCAAAATAGCCAGTTTATCCATAAGACATGGCACAGGAAGCAACCTCTGGGCATTTTTTGTTAACTTAGAAAACTGCTTTTGGAACTTACCTGATTCTGCAACTTCTGCAATGGGCACGCCTTGTTCATAAGCCATAAATCCAAGAACTGAAAAGATAGCAAAACCAGCAACAAAGCTTGTGCCACTGTTCAAGCAGCAGAGCATGATGCAGTCTCTGAAAATACAAATAAAAAACACTGCAGTTGATCTCCAGAGCATGGGTTTCTTTCATACACGGAACCATAGGACTAACAGAACCCCAAGGTGCAGGAATGGGCATTAAGTTACTCATTAAGAATGAGACTCCAACTGATATTATGTCTGAGAGAAATCAGTCAGGCATAAGCATTTGAAAGAATATATCATCATAATACCCTTGCTTGTGTTTTAACTGGTTGAATTGCAAACCTGTTGCTTCTTGCCTACTATTTTTCAATAATATCTTTAAAAAAACATGTAAAAATGCCATAAGAACGGTGTTAAGAACAATTTTTCCACAGCAGTTGTAATATTGTATTCCAGAGGATATGAACTCATTTATAAACCATATAAAAATCATAGCATTCTTTTCCTGGAAAAAAATCCTATTGTCAGGTATTAGCTAATTGTATTCCAGTTACAGTGTACTGACAATATTTATCCATATGAAATACACGTCCAGTTTGGTTTATAAACGTTTTTTAAAAATCTGTGGTAATGAAAAGCACCACACATAATCTAAGAAGTGCCTAAAAAGTAGGCAAAGACAGTGCAGGGACACTAATCTCTCAGACCGATGTATCCTACCCATCAAACAGTGACAATTATGAGACCAAGGTGAAGAAATATTTAGTTTCCAAGATTCGAAATGTCACAATGGTAAACCACTTTTTAAAAAAGGGGAAATACTCTCGCAGAAAGGTGTGATCCTTCCCTAGAGCTCAGTGAAATATCATTGTTCATGCTGCTTTCAGGCTTGAGAGGTGATGAGTTAGGAGTAATTTATCATGACAGTCAGTCTTTTAAGACAGTTTGCTATGAGCAACAGCTGTGTACTTGAGAAAGTAATAATCTAACATAGATGGTCTGAAAGTATATTCGGATCCTAAAACACTGAAACACGAGGCAAGCCTGTAGCTCTGTCAAGCCTACACCTTAATCTGGTTTGTTTATTCCCATCCTACTACAGCTCTGAAGCAAATTTTTGTGCAAGATATCAATGAAAAGAAATGACCCTGTAAATTCTAACAGATTCTGAACCACATCCTCAATAAGGATTCCCATCTTTGTCACAGATTTGTAGTGACTTTTTCAGAATCAGAGACAATTCATATTTTTGAAGTCTTGGCATATATTCCGGCAAAACTTCTTTGGTAGTCTCCACCCTGTTGCTTGCTTCATTTGGTATTTTTATTCTGTAACTTTACCTCATCATTTTATTAAGTTGAAAGTGAGGTGACCGGTTCCAGCACCTTACTCCTTCACCAATGAGCCCTGCACTGCATCCCACATCTGTTCAAAGCTCCTTCTGTTACTTTGATTCACATTAGCATCCCAGGCACAGACATTCTAAAGGGCAGGAGGCGGGCATGCATATCAGTACTGCAAAGTGAGTGATCACCTGAACTCTGGCCATTGGGCCACTGGAGGCTCATCACCTTACCTACAGTAAATTTTAACCTTGATTTTGAGAATGTTTTTATGTTTTCATAATCATTGCATAGTAAAAAATGTCATCTATAAATTGGCAGAATTTGTCCAGAAATGAAAAAAATAAACACTCCCATTTGTAGATCAAGACTCAGACATGGAGCAGTCCATGCTCCATGAACAGAGATGTTCACACTTTTTTCATGCACAGACTCTCTCTAACACTATTTGTTCATTAGCAGGGGTAAACAGCTCCTTTAAAATAGTTTCTGAAAATTCTGAAAATGGTCAGAATTCTAAACTGTTTATTTGCTTTCCTATGAAATTGCTTCCTGTAGTTATGCACAGCCAGGCTAGTTATACACTTTGGATGTTTCAAAGAAAAACAGCAATCTAAAAGAAAACCACCAGAGGCATGGAGTTCTTTGTGCTTTGCAAAGACATAAAACAAAGAGAAAGGTCATCTTCCTAACCATTTTTCTCAGTGTATTTCAGCACTGAAGTAGCTCTGGAAAGATTCCCACCCCAGCCTATCTCACTTGAGAACCTGGTGAGTTCAGTGCTGAGAAATTAAAACTAAGTGTGATGAAACTGTCGATAAGAGATGTCAGAAAGATGTATTTTTTTAATCCTTTCAGAGAAAAAAAAAGAGATACTACTTCAGTGGGATGGATCTGGCTGCTCACCAGTCATATGACGCCTCCATTTGGAACAGCCTGTTTTCTGCAGATAAGATTTATTTTAGATAATTCCCAGGCTTCAAATGCAGTCCAAACAACAAGATATTTTTTCTCTGGTGAATGATGTGGCACAAGACATTTGAGAGCTGCTGGTTCCTAACCATGTGAAAAAGGGTTGTGGTGGAGACACAGGGCTCCATGTGCACCTTCAGTGCCCCTGGCAGCTTCTGCTGCTTTCTCTCAAAGGAAGGTCCTAGGGCAAGGCCCAAGGAGCTTAAGATGGACAATCCTATAGAACTAGATCATCTGTGACAGAGGCAAGATGAGTATTAACATTTCTCCACTCACAGGGAAGACCCATGAACCGCAGTGCCACGGTACAAAATAGTTACAGGGTAGATATGCGTTTCTCCAAGGAAATGGGCAAAAGTGAGCCTAAGGGGATTTTCACCATCTCCAGTTAGTGAGATACCTGTTCTTTTGATATCACACAGACACAGCTCCATCATCTTCTTCCCAGTTAGTCAGTCATAGAGTGAACACTTTGTTCTCTGGCGACCTAGTAATTTCTCATCCTAATAAAAATACAGTCTCTGATTTTAATTCCCATCCTTCCTTTATCTTTGCAGGAATTCTACTAACCCCTCAACTCCTGATTTTTTCCTTCAGATAGAAGTGTGTAACCCATACTTCAGTCTTTTTTTTTCTGCTACGGGAAGAAAAACTGAGAGGGAAATCTGGATCCGTTGATTGTGAAACCAATGAATTTTAAAACATAAATGCCCAAGAACCACTGGAAGGAGAACATGAAATTTATCTCATCTACCATCTATTTTTTATAAGCATCCTTGGTAGGAAGGCAGCAACCTGACTGAAGCCCAAACCAATTTCAAATGAAAGGAAAACTTCAAATTTTTATGCAAACTTCACATTCTTCCAAATTAATGTCTTGCCAATCACCTGAATAATTCAAGACATGCATCCCTTATCATCTCCCTGCCTGACAGGCAGGATACTGCTGCAGGTTGATTCTGCCTTCCTTAAGGAGCATCTGTGATTAGAGAGGAAAGCCCTCAGAGCTTTTTGCATCCCTCCAGTTACTTCCTTGTCTTTATGAATCCCCTCAAGAGCAATTCCCATTCTTCTTTCCCTCTTAGACTCAAAACTTGATAAAGGACACATCTTCATTTCTTAAAAGTCCTGTCCATTTGTTGACAGTGTGTGAAATCACTCATTTATCTTCTGCACCACAGCAGCAACATGGCAGCTAACCCCTGATCCGTACACGGAGCCCATAGAAAAAAGATGGTACTGCTGAGCTGCAGGCTCCCGTGCAAAGGAGCGGGGCTGTGACGGCGTTTCCCCCAGTGCGGAACTGCACAGTGGCCAGCAGGGAGCTGGGTCAGTGCTGCAAGTACAGAGCGCTTGAAGCAGGAACATTTTCCTATTCTGTCTACTGAGGTTGTCTGAAGTTAATCCATCCCTTAAGAAGGTCTGAACGGATTAGGAATTCTTAGCTTGATAAAAATTACAGGAGACATCAGTACACCTTTCTTTTATTTACATGGGGAAAACATTGCCTCCTGATGGTACTGCCATTACTTTCATCCATTAGAGTCACTTTTAATATAGACTGTTGTAAATCTAGGGAGGATCTGTATTAATGTATTACAATGAAAGATAAGCAAGGACAAATTCATTTCCAATTCAGAAACGTGAAGTGACTTGTTTGCAATTCATTTACGATGTTAATGAACTAGATCAGGTTGCTAATAAGAAAAACCCATGTGCAGTTTAGATTTTCCCCTTTCCCACTAAAATACCTCATACTATTTTCCACTTCAACTTTCCCTTAGAAAAAGTATTCCAGTAAAACAGAGTGCAGAAAGAGCAGAGGTAGGTGTTACCACCAGCTGATACACTGTGGGTATCACAAGAGGCAAATCTATAGCTTGATTTTAATATTTTTAAGTACTAGTTAGAATATAAGTTTAATTCTGCTTTATACTGCATAGCTGCTTTGTATGTCCTGCTCTGTGAACAGCCCTGTTTAACCCAGATGCTTTCTGCCATTTTCTGCCCTACTTCTTTCCTCTGATTTCTTAAGAGTTATACTTCAGGAAATTTGTGAAAAAATTTTTTTAGAGGAATTGTGAAGCTTGTATTCAGTAAAAAGGATTCTGTTGCAGCATCTTGCTCAGGAACCTTAAAAGAGAGCTGCTGATGATTTTTACAAGCGATGCTGCTAGGGTCAGAGGAAAGGAAGGAAAATTACATGAGCTTTCTGACCATACATCAAAACTCCTGCTTTCTGTAATGAGTTACAAAACCACAGTAAAAATATTACTGCTGTTCTTGAGGCAGTGACCAAGTAGTTTCTAGCTGGGATGCAACTGGAAAGAAGTTAAAAATAAAAAAAAAAAAAAAAAGGGAGAAAAATTAAATAGTGCTTTTGTTAGAGTATCACATACTAATTAGAGAAAATTTTCATTACCCACTGTTCTGTTGGGGCATTCATTACCCTCTGTTGGGGCATTTTTAATATTATTCTGAAAATAATGTGAACCAGCACTGAAGATTGTAGTGGACTCACACTACTTTGTACAGCAAAACATTCAGAATTTTGGCTGTCATAGCCAAGCAAAGAGTAACTTACGATGCTGCCAAGTTACTTTGCGTGTTTAGATGGCCAAGTACCCTCAATTGCTGCTAGATAGCTTTGCAGACATTCAGCTGGGGGACACATGTGTGTCTCTGTGGTTTCCAGTATCCCAATCCCCTCTCTGCCTGCAGGGTCCTACAGCTTGGTGTTTCTCTGACAAAAGAGCAAATTGTTTCTCAGACATTGAAAGAAGAAAGCGTTTCCTAAAAATGTCTCCTGAACTCTCCAAGTAAAACTGTAGTTTAGAATTTAAATACTTACACTTTTGGGGTTTTGGGGGTGGTGTGTTTGAGGTTCTTTTGCTTTTGGACTGTATTATTTCCATTATATGAGAATGAAATTTGAATTCTCTGTCTGGAGATCATAAAGGAGTCAGCACAATCAAACTGTCATTTACTGTCTGTATTACAGGCTGTTGAATAGTAGGAAAACTAATTCAGTAACTACTGATGCCAGAAGAAAAAAGTATTCATATTCCTGCCCATGCCAGTAAAATGGAATGAGGATTTTGTGTGAGTCATATCCTTTTGGCATTGATTCAGGAAAGATTAAAACCTACTGAAGTCATTAGCAATTTTCTTACTGATTTCTATAAAGATAAGCAGTGAAATGCTACCCATTTCTTCTGAGCTCTAGCTAGGAGCCAGTAAACTATTGGAAAAAGTGACATTCAGAGCATAGACCAAGCTCAGATGAGTTTTAATAACAATTTTTTGGTAGGATTTTTTTAAAAGCAGATATACATTACACAATAAAATATTGGACACAGATGCAATTATACATGTATGAAATTCTGTATATTACACATGCAATTTTGTATACCTGTGTGTACTGAGTGGCTTGTGGCTGTGCAAGGGTCAGATATGATCAAAAGGGATGAAAACAGCAAATTTTGGAAAAGAGTTCCTCTGAAACAATTATAAGAAATATTACAGATCTCCATTCTACAAAAACTCACACATATGCTTATGACTATTCATGCAAATAGCTGAAGGAAAAGGGAAGTACTTCTGAGTGAAGCTATGTATACGGACACTTCCATCACTGAAACTAAATGTAAAAATGAAGTGTGGAAGATATTACCTGTAGCAGTTATTATTATAATTGTTGTAACTTCCCAAGGCTGTCAAGCACCCCAAGCAGATCGCATAAGAGAAAAATATCTGTGTACCAGCATCCACCCACACCTGAAGACAAAAAAAAATTGAGTTGTTAAAAAAGGTCAAGAAGGAATCACTTTTATGCACATATTAACTGCAAATTTTCAGAAGCAACTGTAGAGGGTAATAGTGTCTATCAAGCCTTTTATTAGTCACAACCTTAAAAAAAAGTATGCCATGAGTTAAATTAACCCCTCTCCTTCGCAGTGGTATAAACAAGGAGTAACTCAGCTGGTCTTTACAGATTCAGCTCAATCTAAGTAGCAAGAAAGAGAATTTCTGGAGAAGAACATGACCCGGTATGAATTCTTTTATGGTTTTATTAACACTATAAGGTGCTAGTAATTGCAACTGAGATAGAATCATCTGCATTTATCTCAGTCTCATTTGATAATTATTTATTTAAATTTTAAACGTTAGTGTGAAAAAATATTGTAAAGACAAAACATGTCATTCATACATAATATACAAATTGAGCTGGGAAAGAGAAGAGACAACTTATCCAGGGAAAAGGGATTTTTTAGCAATACTTAATGGCCCCAGTTAGACACATGGACATGGTTGTTCTGGTCACTCCATAATTAATGAATAAAAGTTCTGTAGAGCTTAACAAATGGCTTTATAATATTATTATGGTAACACTTATATCCTAAAGTGATGCAAATGCTAAATTCTAAATCAAAGAAAAAAGAAAAGTTAGTTGACACAGTGAGATTATTCTCCTCACAGCAATCTCAGAACATGAATACAATATGCAATTTTTTAACTTTAAAAATACTCCAACAAATCAGTTCATTTCATTCGGCTAGAATCTGTGTGTCTTATCATAGGAGGTGAACGTACTCTTTTAACTCCTGATTTCGCCATGAGAACAATGTGAAGAACCCACATCTACACAGCTGCGCTGTTGTTTCCAATCCAACAAATTCTGATTCCTGGTTTCCCAGGATAAATAAGCTCTCCGGGTTGTTTGTTTGTTTGTTTTTTTGTTTTTAAAGCAGAGCAACCCAAGTGCTTTTCAAAGAAGTAGCAAAACACTGACTGTTAACCAGAGGCAATAGTTGTGTAGCCATTAGCTACTGTAAGTTTGAGACAGGAAAGAGGTAATGCAGGTAATAATTTCATTACTAATAATAGTAACATTAGTAATAGTAATCAAATACTCATGAAGAGGATGTGTTTGTTTTACATGTGATCAAGTGAGACCTTGGTCTCTGGAGTTGTTGAGAGTGTTTCTGTTTAGGAATAACATTAAGATCACATTTTATTTGCATCAGTGGCTTAAATGGTTTCATTGCTGTCATACTGAATAAGATACAGCTGGTTACATCTCAAAGTTTCACCACTTGGTAAGGAAAAAACTGCACAGAGAAAGCTTTTTGAGAGACAGGTTCTTTAACAAGATCCGAAGCTCCCAAAAAGCTGTAAGTAGCATAGGTCAACTGAAAATGCACGGTCTTCTTAAGCATAAACAAAAGCTAGGAAACTGGATCAGCACATGTAGGATCTGCTGCTTCCTTCCATTTCTGTTTTTGCACAATGTATTGTTGCGGTCCATTGTATAGCACTTAGACAAGCAATAGCCTTTCCTGTTGGCATACGCCAGCTCCACAGAAGTCAGATTATTTCTTGAACAGCAAGTTCTAGTGGAAATAGGAACACAGAAGAATTGTGCTCTCAAGTGAGAAACCGCAGAGCTGCTTGAGATGAGCAGAAGAGAGCACATGCCTCTGGAGGTCCTGTCTACATAGTTAGAAAAACAGATAAAATTCTAGCCATAAGTTATATTATTTCCTTCAAAGAAAACAAGATTCCTCTAAAGACCATGACACTTGGCAGCGCTTCAGCATAAGAAGTGGCAAATACTTTATGAGAAACATGTTCCATAAGCAAATATTCACATATTCTACAAGAGTTGAATTAGATAGATGAGCCCTTTGTTTTTGCTGCACTAGATGACATGATCTAGAAACGTCATCAGAACTTTTGGCTAATGTTTAAACAGAAAGGAGGAAGTAACTTTATTTACTGAAGGGAATAATAGAATCAGTGTATCTTCTTTTGGGTTGTATACTCAGAGAGCGAGTGACATTTAATTTGTGATGACCATTAATATTTTCTTTTCAGGTTTCTGAAATGGCAAAACCACCTACAACTGATCAAGGAAGTGGCAAATAAGGAAGTGAATTTAGAAACCACAGGTAAATTTTGGCAGCTGAAAAAACATAAGCACTGGACTAACTGTTGTATTTTTATCACAAGCCTAGACATGTCAACATTTTAAAGCCATGCAGTTGATGTTACAGATCAGTTTTTCATTTCTTGCCCCAACAGCTAGTGACTATTTGACATTCAGCATCAGACTGCAGTACTCATTCATGGTCAGAGAATTTGTTGATGTACACAAATCGTTTGTCAGTCTAAGTCACACCCAGTCTCAGTCATTCATGAACTGCACCTCAGGGAAAGTTTTTCACATCAGAACTAGTGGGTACAGATGAGCTCTTGTAGATACCACTCATAAATCCAGGTGTCACCCACCTGCCTTACGGCAACAAAAGCATTATAAATTATTTCTGAGTGCTGAATTTGCAACGTCTGGCTTAGACTAGAAGTTGTAACATTTTCCAAGTACATGGAATGCATGTAGCACGATTTTGCATAACAATGACATTCTGAAGGACAAAGAAAATACTGCCAGTAAGCTGCAAGCCATGAGTTCTGGAGCCAGGAGCTGATGAAGGGCTGGGACAAAAGTGGTACTTTTTTCTGAAATGAGGTGAGGCTTAATACATTTCTGGCATGGAAAAATTCCAGAGGAAAGGACCTGTACCAGTTAATAACCTGTTCATGCTTTATAAACTTTGAACCTTGAAAATAATTAGGATAATGATAATCAAGTCAATTCATAGCATGCATTCATAAATTTGGGGACAAAATGTTCTATAGTCTTTAGAAAATGGAATTGTTTCTTCTTACTATTTTCATCTCACATTTAAAATGCTTCCCTGCCAAACCAAGATTAAAATTAAAGCACAAAGCCTTTGTTTATAATACCTGAATATTCAAAAAATCTGGAATCACCTTTATATCTACCATGCTTACATTTTTGCACCCAAGTTACAGCTAAGCCCAGCACTACATTAACAACAGTATGGGCAGAGTACAAGAATGCAGATGCCAGCTCCAAATACAGCAGCACAGCTATTGCGCCGACTCCTGTACAGAAATAACACTTTCTGGCTAGGAAGAAGGGGCAGTTCAATGAGCTCATGCGGTGATGCTCTGTTCCCAAAGGGAGAGGCGAAGTATACAAGCCTCAACTGTATGGCCCTGCCTGCTTTCTCCAAGTAGAAATGAAGCATGACAATGAGAGATTGCGTCTCTCCACTTTCCATTTTCTGAGTGGGAAGGGGACCAGCAGAGCTGTCTGTGCCCTGATCCCCATTTTGAGGCTTTCCCACACCTCACTTTACAGCTTTCATGATTCACACCACTGTCTCACAAGCAGTGGTCTCAGCAGTGTCCTGCTGATAACTAACATGTTGGTATAAACACAATTCCACAAGACAGAACAAAGAGGATCATTTTCTACTAAAAATGGAAAGCACTGTTTTGCAAAGTCCAGCTCTCAAAAGCTAGCAATGCTCAGATACTAAGTCTGACTGGGTAATCTTAATTTGGCCTTCCTGTGTGTAGGTCTAGGATACAGTCTTCATTTACAAGACTATTCATCTTTCTGCCTGGGGAGACTAATCAGGCTAGTCAAACAGAGGATCTTGTTGTCTGGAGGATCCCTTGCCTCTTTTGTTGCCATGATTGTAGTGCATGTAATGGATGAAGAAGGTTAAAGAAGGAAGAAGGGGGATGTGCTGTAGTGAAGACAACAGAATACTGCTCTGGAGAATTAGGTTCTTTTCATGTCTCTGATATAAAGTTTCTGTGTGACATTATGTCCATAAATCACTTAAACCAACCCTTTCTCAAATGTTCATTAATTGGGTAGTCCTCATTTAATGGGTGTCCAAAGTGAAGTACAAAATTACCGAGCGTTCACTGTTGCAACCAAGGTGAATGAAAGCTATGTATGCAGCAAGTGAAAAACACGCAGTACTAAAACCCAGGTCTACCAACTGCAAATTGAAAATCCCCAAATGACTGACAGCCTCTCATTTTATTCTCACTATATATTGCTTTATATCAGTAAGAAGGGTCTTGCCATACATTGAAAACTAAATAAGTGAGATTGATGAAGCGCATGGACAGCACAGAAATAAGTCACTTTGAAAGGCTGAGCCATTTTCTGTGATGATCGAGGTCTGAACCACATGCAGTATATTTAGAGGGCCAAGCAATGAGTGAAAAGGATAAAGCAAAATACTGCGTAACTGTCCTGAAATGAGCTTAGTTGATGCTGTGCCTAAATAAAGCAGAGACCTTGGGGAAAAAACAGTTATATGTTGACGTTTATTGTTTCCATAATGCATGGAATAAAAATGAACATTATTCACCTGAAGGACTATCATTAGACTCCAGGTTTTTCTCTAACTTTGTACCTTTCCTTTACTTTCTGTACTGTCTGTATAGATACAGTACAGAATTACAGAAATAGAAGTAAATGGATTAGACAGCTGGGCAGACAATACCTCCATAACTAGAATCAGTACTGCCGTGTCTCAGCACGCACCGCTGCCTTACAAGATACGTGCAGCCCCGATTGTGACAGCCTCGTGTAACACGTAGTTACATGTTACCCAGGATTTTCACTCAGCAGGCTCACAGTGCGGGCACAGCAAGCTCCCGGCTGCTTCAGAGCACAAGTCATCTGAACTCATGTCTTCCCAAAAAGGTCTGCACAGCTGTACTGACATACTCCCTGTGTTGGGATATGGAAACCACAGAGATCGGGATCTACAGGGATTCCTGCAGCAGCCTCTCTCAGGAGGGAGCCTTTGCCACCTTTAGTCCATATCATTTCCACGTATCAAATAATTGGGGGAATATTGTTCACTGCTTAAGGCCATACT